AGAGAGCAATGTGTTTCAGAGAACTGAAGGAAAAATCCTGTGAATAAAACTTTAAACTTTCTAAAACTTGTAAAAATTACAAAAAAAAATTAAAGTCCCTTCTCCTGAATAAGCTGAATGGTTTGATATATAAATGGCTAAAATAACACTTAAGTATGCAGAAGTGATTAAATTGTAAAAAGTAAGAAAAGAGCAAAAAAAAAAAGTGTAGTGAGAATGCTGACTCAGCAGTAACACTAAATTGTGATTACTCAATGTTCAAATGAGAGTTTCTTAATTTTTCTGTAGTGGTGACGAGATGCTTCTGTTCCCTGTGGACCCTGTTAGCTCTTTTTTTTTTTTCCAAAAAGGTTTCTATTTAATCTGCACTAAAGTTTATCTCAACAAACTTTTCTCACATCAGAACAAACATCTGGTTTGATGTTTCAGACGAAGCAGAACTAAAGCGGTCCTGGATCAGGCGAGTTAAGTTTAGCTGCGTTTGTTGGTAATCGTGTGTGTGTGCGTGTGTGTGTTTTGCAGGCTGCTTGGTCACTGGGAGGAGGCTGCCAGGGATCTGGCTACAGCCTGTAAACTGGACTACGATGAGGATGCCAGCGCGTTGCTAAAGGAGGTCCAGCCGAAGGTACCATACAACATTACATAGTACATTTAAATTACTAACGGTACATTACACGGTACATTTAAATTTAGCATCTGTAACAGTATTTAAGTAGTTTTTTTTTTCCTGGTGGATGGAAGCAGTTCTGACTTATTCTGTCACATTAAGACTTATTTGCAAATCTGATTCATTGAATCAAAGCGGATGTCTTTGTTTAAATAAAATTACAGCGAGTCAAAGAGGTTTGTTTTAGTTGTTGCGTTTGTCGCTTCTGTTTTAGGCTAATAAAATCCAGGAGCACAGACGCAAATATGAGCGCAAGAGGGAAGAGAAGGAGATCAAAGATAAACAAGAGCGCATAAAGAAAGCCAGAGAGGAGCACGCTCGGGCTCAGAGGGTGAACTTTTAACACGTTAAACCTTTTCATCAAGACGTCTGCATGAAACAAGTCACTGACTCGCTCCTTTCTTTGTGAGGCGCAGGAGGAGGAAGCACGGCACTCTGGAGCTGGATTCTTCCCAGGTAGGAGGGAGGAAGCACGAAGACAAATTGTTTTATATTTCATCTCCTCCTATCGTTACAAGTCCTAACAGACTTGGTAGCATCGTCTGATTGACAGATGGACTGACAGGTCAGCTGTTCGATTCCCCTTCAGGTCATGAGTTTGTTTTTCTGCAGGTGCCGGTGGTTTCCCAGGTGGAGCTGGTGCTGCTGGCATGCCCGATCTCGGCGATCTCTTCAAGGATCCCGAGCTGCTCAACGCCATGAAGGTGACGTCCTGCTCGACATCGTGACTTTGTCATGTGATTTTAGACCACGTGACAAATATCAGAGGCATTTGTGACTTTTAGGACCAAATACATTTAGTTCGGAGCTCTGAAATTACTTGATGAATCAAATGAAGATTAAAATTGGAATAACACAACTCAGTATGAACTGTTTATATATATAAAAAAAAGTTTATTCCAATCTGAAATGAAAAAACCTAACAAACTGCTGATATTTTACACTTTTTGGAGAACGGTAAAAAACTAACTCGTATGTAGAGAAACAGTTTGTTCCTCCTCCCATTGACAACACTGACGTTTGGAGGCCTGTGTGAATTTAAATTAGATTTGTGGAAAGTTATTAATTTCCCCACTTGGAAATGATAAAGTAGACATTTGCATCCTGGTAAACATGAACGTTAGGATTATAAATTGTTTTATAATAATTTTTAATCTTTTAATTTTAATCTTTGAACCATGTCTGAGATTGTCTCAGGTCACCTGCACTTCAGGCTCAGTGTGGTTTCACTTCAAGCTAACGTGGATCGTTTTGTGTTTTCATGAAGTCTCCTGACCTTTAAAAGTTTCAACTACATTCAATCTCTCACTGAAATACAACTTTAATTCAATGTTTTGAGAGTTTGAACTAAGTTTTTATTAATAAATTAATATTTAACCAGGGTTAAAACTTGATGAGCCTGCTTGTTTACTGTAGTTTGAATTCCTACGTGTTATCCACCAGTTCAGTAAGTGTTTTTCTTTTCAGGACCCTGAGGTGATGGCAGCCTTCCAGGATGTGGCACAGAACCCGGCCAACATTTCCAAGTACCAGAACAATCCTAAAGTCATGGCCCTCGTCACCAAGCTGAGTTCCAAATTCGGAGCTCCCCCGCAGCCGTAAACAGCCGGGCACCGGGACTGAACGATCCAGAGAGCAACGCTTTTCGACAATTTTTCACTGTGTTTAGTTAAAGGGGGACGATGGGTCAACTGGTGAGGTGAGAAGTTGGGCAACCTTTTAAATAAATGTTCTTAATCAGCCAGTTAGAAACATCTAAACAAAGCATCTCTACGGTTGGTAATCAGGTCGATACGTGGACAACACGTCTCAGCTGGGGCTTTATTTAACAACAGGTCGACTTTTTTTTATTTTACGTCTAAAACAGCCGCACCGCAGGCCTCTACATTAACACTAGTGTTTTTACAGCCATTTAATACGCGGTTTAACCTCTGTTCCCTCTCTGAACACAGCCGAACCTCACACGAGAGCGTCGGCACGTTTTGTTATCAGATCTGTTCTAAATGCAAAAAAAATAAGTGTTGATGTTTCACCCTGTTGGAAAATAAATGTACACAATAAAACTTGATGCAAAACAGGCTGTTTTTGTTTTTACATCCTTGATTTAACTGATTTTTTTTTTTTTTACAGTTGTGTGGATTTTAAATGACTAATACTATCAGTATTATAATATTAATATATAATATTAGTATTGTATTATTAGTAATATTAGTTTTAGGCAGAAAACCTGAATTCATTTGAGAAATTAACGTTTTATTGATTAGGACAAGTGAATAATTTAATTTCCTTATTAGCAACATTCTACAAAATACATGAATTCTAAACTACATTAGAAGTTTTGCTTTAAAAAAACTGGGTTCAATTTACCATTATACGCTCAAATAGTGATTTTGCATATTTAGGTGATTATGCTACAATATTTTGAAACCATAGTGGGTCTTCAGGCATCAAAGTCAATCTGAAGGCTAGTTTTTTTAAAATCACAATCTAGATGTTGAATCTGTTAATGAAGCACATCTCTTTTCATTTTTATTTATTTTTTATATAAAAATGACATCCCACAGACTGCAAAAAGTGATAACATTACTGTTTATTTAAGTACAATAGAACAAAACAAAATGTAAAATAACGCCAAGCTATAGAAGCAGAGGAAAAATCTAGAAGCGGTGAGGCTGATGCTCGCAGAAGGAACCAGTCAACAAGATAACATCTAGTGTCCGTATCTGTGGGGGGAAATAAAATGACAAAATAAAGACTCAATATTTTACACACATTCCTCATATGAGGTGTAATCGATTGTACTCACTTCTGAAACTCCCACTCTCTGTTGTCCAGGGGACACACCTGTCTGGTTTTCAGCCAACGTGAAATGCAGTGGAAGTGAAAGGCGTGCTGTGGGAAAAAGGTTGAACCATTATCAGCCTTTGTAGTTGGTATAATCACTATACTGTCTGTCAAACTCCACACTAATACAACATGAGGGAACAGTAATGTACTACTGTAGTATAGTAATATTACTATGTAATAGTGTACGAGAGCAGTAATACCAGGACAAACACTAGAAACTAAAATAAGGTTTAGATAAATTTTTTTGCACAGAGATGCTTCCTGCTAAGAGTCTGGAATTAATGCATTTTAATAGAACATTTATTTAACCCACTTAAGAACAGGACACTTCATACATTAAAGATGAACCACATCTGTTTTGAAACTCACGTTGCAGACACCCCACGCCACGGTGCACTCTTCAGATGTTGCAGAAGCTTGGTTGGCCTGACACTCTATGCCTGATGGGAGGAATAATGAAGCTCAAAGACCCCTCTATTTGAATGTGCATGCTCGTGTTTACAACTAAAATGTGCATCAATGGCTTAAAATGTCCAAAATGATGTGAACTCACAGAGATCCATGATGTGGTTCCTACAGATGGCACAGTTATCCACCACGATGTCCCAGGCCCACAGCGCAACCGCGTTCCACTGAAACAGAAATCACAGGAAAAAGACTAATCTAATTTTTCTGTATATTTTAAATAAGGAAACAACTTTACAAAATTAAAAGTTTTTAATGCTTATGTAAACTTTTAAGGAGCCACACAAAGAAAAACAAGAAATTACAAACTATCTGCAGAGTCAGAATGAAATTAGATTTTTCTACAGAAAATAAGTAAATTTGACTACACATGAATAAGAAATGACTGATACAGAAACACAAATGACAAACTTTAATTGTATTCCTAACATGCCTGAATATATTTAATAAGGTTTGGTGAATTTTTATTTTTCTGTCAGTTATTGTTTTGATGATCAAAGTTTCTCTGTGGAACATGTTCCTGTGCTGTGTTATGAAAATGAAACTTTCTGACTAAAAATATTTAGGAAGTTTGACAGAAAAGTCTCAAGACTAGCAGAATGTGGTTAGCTCTGTTAAAACTGGAGGAGCATCTGGTTTGTTAAATTTCATGAACATAAACAACATACATCGATCAAGACGAATGTATTTAAACTGATCATTTAAATATGTTATATTTTGCCTAATTCTGAAATGTGCTCCTAAGCTAACTTTACTTTAGCATATCTACTAACACCGGTAAAGATGTATATTTAAGAACGACTCTCCGCTTTATAAGCGCATTGTTTAGTTTTTTTTAGTGAATGTAGGTAATATCTGTCACGTCACTTGGTGTTTTATGTTTGATTTATACTTTTGATACATTGAGTCCCTACAAAAGAATCGCCAATTCATTCCTTGTTTTCTACAGTAGGCTAACACAGCTAGCATCATTCTAATAACGACGCAATTAGCCTCACTATGCTAATGCTAGGTCAAACCTTTAGGCGCTGCTAACGACATAGACCATCTCTTTTTTTATCAGGCCGCAGAATAAATTTATACAACACTACCTTCTTGACTTCAAAACGCTTCTTGCTCGCCCCGCTGTTAGTGCCGCTCGGCGTGTCAACATCCATCGCTGCTGCCATCTTGATCTGTCGAACAGGAACTAGCTTCTGACGTTATACCCGGAAGTACGACATTTGTCGCAAATTTGCATAAATGTAAACTGTTTTGTAAAAAATAAGCACTTTAGCAAAGGAAAAAAACTGATTGGCTTTTTAAATGTGTGTGTAATTATTTTTTAAAGAAAAATGTAGCTTTAACTTGGTGGTTGGAAAAAAAAAAAGTCAGGTTCCACCGAGATTTGAACTCGGATCGCTGGATTCAGAGTCCAGAGTGCTAACCATTACACCATGGAACCGTGATGAATATCAAGTGGAAGTTTTTATCCTTAAATCATGTGTATGGCCATTAATTGTTAAGGTTTTCATTTTTTTTTATTTTATATTATGATATTACCCCTAAATAAGCTTGTATTGAAAAATAAATATATCCACCGTAAAGGGTTCTTTTAAAAGCAACCCTTTGTTTTTCTAACTTCAGTTCTCCCGCAGGTAGTTTACAGAATATTGGACACATTTTTCTCCCACATGTTAAAAGTTGTCCAGCTATTATTATGCACCAAGTTTTCACCCAGACTTGTCCTTCTTTGCTTGTCAGTATGCTTAAATGGGGAAAAAAAATACGAATGTAAACTTCAAAAAGTAATATTGAAATCTTTTATTTTAATTCTCCTCAGTTTTAAAGCATCAAATCACTGGTACATTGACAGAGCAATTGGCAAAGAAAAAAAACCAAACACAAATATCAGGTTTTCATATTTGTTGTCTGCTGGTTCTTGGTCTTTTTTGGTGCAGCAGGCTTTCTCTGACGTGGGTTTTTGGACGGTTTGCTTAGTTTGGTCTTTTCTGGCCTAGTTTTCTCTCCGGGAATCTTCAGGGCACCATGTTTGGATTTCTTTAATTTTGCAGGTCTGAGTGCTACAACAGCTTTTTCATCTGGAGGAGTGAAGTTTTCTGGGCAGGCCATGAACACGTTAACATCCCTGACCTGCTGACCTCTGAGCTCAAGAGGTTGGGCACAAGTTGCTGTCACCTCCAAACTCACATTCTCCATCCACCTTATCAAAAGACATAAAGAGCAAAAAAACACATTCAAATACTTAAAATTAAGGTTAGTAATTGTGTTCCCTTGAACGAGGATTTTATACAGCATATTTGCAAGTACAGTTCTTGCGCTGACCTGCGAAGGGGCAGCAGATCACAGTCACACAGCAGAGGGTTGTCTCGTAGGTCGATCGCCTCAAGACCAGTGAGTAAACCCAGATCAGGAAGATTCTTTAGCTGATTTCCTTTCAAAGTGAGAGTTTTGAGTCCTGGACCCAGACCCAGCAATGCATCCTTGGACATCTGGACAGCGACAAACCAGACAGCTTCATTGCAAGAAACTATAATGCATTTCTCATAAAGTCGCATCTAGACAAAATGACTTGCGTAATAGTTAGCTAAATAAGCTAAAACAAATAATCTAAGATGTACCTGTTCTAGTCCCATCTGATCCATGAAAAGCCTTTTAAGACTGTGTGAAACGGGCTGGAATGCCTTTGGTCCAACCCAACGGACCAGGTTTTCAGACAGGTTCAGCTCCTCCAGATTTACAGCTTGGAGCAGAGCGTGAGTAGGCACCTCGGTCAGCTGGTTTGAATCCAAGACAAGAGTACCGATGAACGCTGAGCTTAGAGCGCCCTTGGCAATAAAAGTCATGGTGTTGTTGCTCAAGTAAAGTTCCCTGAGTGTAGGAGCTACTGAGGACAGCAAACCGGTGGGCTCTAATTTGGAGATGGTGTTTCTCTCCAGATGTAACACAAACAAATTTGGTAAAAGTGACAGAGCTGCAGGAGAACCACAAAGAAAAAAAATATTTATACAGTTCACTTAGTGTAAAATTCTCAAATTTAAGTGTGAATACTCATCAGGACTATACTGACCTGAACCAGGGAAGAGGGACAGTCGGTTCCCCTCCAGGTGGAGGTATGTGAGCTTTGGGATTCCAGCAAAGGCTTTTGGGTCCAAGGATGTGAGACTGTTATCGGACAGATACAAATAAAGCAGGTTTTTCAAGCCCTGGAATGCGCCGCCTTCGACTTCATGGATTTTGCAGAAGTCCAGGTGGAGAGAAACAACTTGGCTGGTGCCTGGGAAGCTGCTGGAAGGGATGAAGTGGAAATGGTTGCCACGGAGGTCAAGCAGCTGCGTTGTGGTGGGGAAGCCTCGTGGGACTTTGGTATGACCCCGGTTCTCACATGTGGCATGATGGGCGTCGGTCTGCAGGTTGAATCAGAAACATAATTACAGTGCATCTTCAATTAAAACTGTTCATTGATTATTGTTATATCTGCTAATACAACAGTTGTCACATTACCAATCTGTTGAAGCAGTCTGGTTTCTGTCTAAAGTTTCTATCTGTTAAGAAGAACTTTTCCTGCCTTCTGTCTCCACGAGATTGCTAAGAGAAAGTGCAGTAAAATGGCCTGGTGCTAGACATACAAAAGCAACTGTGTTTGTTTGTGGCTCATCGGACTGAAGAAGTCCTTTGGAGGAAGGACGAAACGTCTCAGCAAAAAAAACAAAGGAACCATCCAGATGACCTAACTGAACGTTGTTGGATTTGTACCTGGATTATTGAGCATGAGCTTTGGTGAAAACTGAATTAAATTCTCTATCTCCATCTTCTACCGCTATCTGTTGTCTGGTCAAGGGAGCAACAGGTCCAGGAGAGAAACCTAAACATCCTTCTCCCCAGTGATACTCTCCAGCTCCTCCTGGAGGACCCACAAGGTGTTTCTAGGCTAGGGAAGATACACAATCCCTCCAGTGAGGTCTGGGTCTGCCCCTGGGCTTCTTCCCAGTGGGAAATGCCAAAAAAACAAAACAAAGGGAGGTGTCCAGGAGGCTCCTAATCAGATGTCTGAACCACCTCAGCTGACTCCATTCAATGTGAAGGAGCAGCGGCTCAAATCCAAACTCTACCTGGATGATGGAGCCCTAAGGCTGAGCACGGTCACCCTACGAAGGAAGCTCATTTCAGACGCTTGTATCCGGGATCTCATCCTTTCATCCATGATCCAAACCTCAGGTGAAAGTTGAAATGTAGACGGATCAGTTAATCAAGAGTTTTGCTTTTTGACTCAACTCTTTCTTCACCACGACCGACTGAAGCAACGATGATTGTCACTTGTGAACAAGACGCCCAGACACTTACACTCCTCCATCTGAGGCATATGTGTCAAACTCAAGGCCCGGGGGCCAAATGTGGCCCTCGTTGACATCTTATCTGGCGCCCAAGATGTTATTTTAAATGTAAAATACTTTTATCAGTTTAATTTTTTCAGTAATCTTTGATTATGATGTTAAAAGTGCAACAGAGAGCATCAGATGAAACCAATGAAACTCTTTTTAAGGAACATGGAACCAAGAAAAGATGTTGGTATCAAAGTTGAGTTAATGTAGATTCTGAAACCGGCCCTTAGTTTGAAAAAGGTTTTGGCCCCCTTTTGTAAGTGAGTTTGACACCCCTGATCTGAGGCAACAATCTTAATCAAATTAACAGAGATCGTTTTAAAGTGATTTTGTTTGGAGATATTCATTAACACATCCTGGACTGTTTACAGCTTCATAAATGAAAAAGGTGAAACTCTTATGAAGCCTGATAAAATGTGTCTGTATTGGACAAATAATGAAAAGACAACATCCCAAACACTCACATCACATTCACAGTTTGGTGGACACTTGACTGGCCGTCTGGGTTTGGCTGTGACTGTGTTATTTCCTTTATCCCCCTCTTCCTCCTCTTCCTCCAGCGCTTCACCTCTGCTTCGACAGCGTAGATCCGGGGAAGCCACCGCCTGCAGCTGCTCATCAGCGAGGTGAGGGGGTCCAGCACAGGCTCCCAGCAGCTTCACACCTCCAGTGGTCGCCCACTCCTTCAGGGGCCTCATAAAGCAGTTACAGTAGATCGGGTTGCCTTTAATAGAAATCATTGCCCATTTGAATATTTTTAATTTCTTAGTTAGGACATTAATGCAGGCAAAGAGTTGCAGAGTCGTACCAGTCAATTTGAGGATGGCTAATTGTTTCGGGCCTGAGAGGGGCTCCAGGTAACGGAGCTGATTGTGGCTGAGGTCGATGTGGGACAGAAGCGGGGCGTGGGCTAATGCCTGGTCTGACAGGTCCTGCAGGGACATGTGATGCAGGTACAGGTGGGTGAGCTTCGCCATGGAGACAGCTTCCTCCCCCAGGTAGGTCATGAGATTGTAGCTCATGTCCAGGTGCTTGACTTCCGGGAGCCTTTAGGAGATTGTAGAATATAAAACATATTCTAGATATTCTTTGATTCTGTTACACTTTTCACCTGAAAACATTCAACACCTTTTAGAGTCTGAAAAAAAAAAAGAAGCTGTCAGCCGTTTTGTTTCTGGTCACTTTTGTTACAAAAGTGCTAGTTATTAGTCGATGTGTTACTAATTTATTTTATAAAAATAGCTGAAGCCAAAGATAAAACGTGACATGTTATACAGATGTATGTATATAATCTCAGCTGTCAATACAATCAGAATTTGAGGAACAAAATAAAAGGGTAGCTCAGAAGTGGTTCTGTGGAAAGCTTATGAACAATTAATATGTTACCTGTTATAGATAGCTCTTTGAGCGACCTCACTTTGGAGAAACAGAGTTTAATTCTGACTGAGCAGATGAGCAAACAGCTGAATTACTGCCACCTGAAAACAACTCCCGTCCTTAAACAATGCATGCAAAAGCTGTTTTATGAACTTTTACATCACCATCAATTTTTCATTATATGGTTATTTATTAAACATTCTCTACTTTTAAAAATGTATTTATTTGCAAGCGCTAAAGACGACATCAGGATCTAGCCGTTGCACTTCATTCCAATAGAAACAATGTAATGTTTCTGTCAGAACATGTGTGTTATTCTAAACTGACAGTGATGTTAAGGCTTATAAAACAGCATTAGCTTGGTCATTAAAAGAAATACCTAAAACTACTTCATGCCCTTTCCATAAAACCCCATTTTAAAAGAGCTGAACTTTGCCTTTTAGCCTTCTTTTTTCACCTAATGGTCATACTTGCCAGTATTAATCCAGCAATTATGTCAATTAACTTTTTGCATGATGTAATAATTCCAAAGCTCCTATTTTCACTAGAATATTAAATCTGAACTTGTGTCACACCCGTGATAACTGATCAAATGGTCCCACCTGGTCATAGTCTGTGTGGGGAAGAACTGCAGCTCGTTGTGGTCCAGGCTGAGGCGACCAAGCGTGAACAGTCCGGCGAACGCTTCCGGTGCCAGGTTGTTCAGGGAGTTGTGGCTGAGACGAAGCCGTTTGATGTTCTGCAGGCCCTGGATGAGAAGTTACACTGTTGCAGAATAGTGTCCCGGAGAGCACACCTGCTTGAGGTTTCTGACTATACCTGGAAGGCCATGTTGGGGATGTAAACCAGACGGTTGCGACTGAGAGACAGCATGTTGAGGAAGCCGAGCTGTGTGAAGGCTCCAGGCTGGATCTCCTCGATATGATTATGATCCAGGTGCAGCTCCTTCAAGGAGGAGAGGCCATCAAAGGACTCCTGTAATGTTCACACATATTTGTCTCCAGCTCAGTTTAAGTCTGAATGCAGAGCAGTGTCCTTCACTTTATCTCACCTGGTAAAGGATCTCAATTTTGTTGTTGGCCAGGTTTAGGGACACCACACGGCCAAGAGTGCGGAAGGCACCTTCCTTTACCTTGAGGATGTTGCAGCGCTGCAGGTTGAGGTGGGTGAGGTAGGGCGTGCGCAGGAACGCACCCCTTGGTAGCAGCCGTAAGTTGTTATCCCTCAGGTCGAGTCTTACCGTAATCTGGAAGAACGGTGAGACAGAACCATATTTCTGAGGCAGCAAATTTTACAAGCAAATCAAGATGAGGTTCTAAAGCAACTAAGTTGCTCGAGGGGGCACGGTTACTGAAAGCCAAGAGCTCAGGGGTTGGATATCCAGCAGTTATTGTCATTAAATAAGTTTGTATTATAGTTTAAAATCTAGTTTTAGTTAAAAATGAACCCAATGGTGCGCTCACCTGTGGGCCTGATTTGGCCCATGGGCCACCAGTTGAATAGCCCTGCCCTAAAGTGTAACGAGAAAAACATGTACTCACAACTTCACACAATGTGAATGCACTGAGGTGGCCCCAAAAGACTCAAACACACATGTTCAAGACTGTGAAATGTTCACGGTCTCACTTCAAAGTGTTCAAGAAAAGCAAAGCGTAGGTGCTTTGAATTCCTCACCTCGTCTGTAGTCTGAGGAATTTCTGTCAGGTTTTTGCCAACGCAGACCACTGAGAGTTTGGAGTCATCACAGCTGCACGCTTTGGGACATCTTCTTACAGGTTTTTGTGTTTTCTGCGCTGAACTCAAAGTTAGCAGGAAGACTGCAGTGAAGAGGAACTGCATCTGTGCCAGTAAAAATGTTTTTGGAAAAACACGATAAGTCAAAAGTAGCAGATGTGATTTTTTTTAATGTACTTTTTTTGTTTTGTATTTGAAAACCTATCCAAAAAAATTTTTTTTTTTTTTTAGAAAATGGTGAACGTTAAATTTTTATGTCAGTCACTTCAGAAAGTGAATTTCATTTATTCTATAGATTCATTGCACATGGAGTGAAATATTTATGCTTCATGGTGATTTCATTCTCCAGCAGGACTTTGCTCCTGCCCACACTGACAAAGGTGCCAACAGCTGGCTGTGTAATAATCTAATTTTGTTTTATCATCACATGTAAGCCATAATGATCAATAATATTACACAAAATAAAGGCTTGAAACATTTCACTATGTAATGAATCATGAACGAGTTTCACTTTCTGAAGTGATCGACAAAAACTCTGGAACTTTTCCATATTCTAATTTCTTGAGCTGCACCTGCAAAGTCAAGAAACTTGGTAAAAAAATTGTATATAATAATTTTTCTACCTCTGTCATAAAGACTTCATATTACTATATTTACTATTAATATTAGGTGTCAGATACTGTACTGAAAGATTCAAAGATCAGCCTCTGAGTTGGATTAAATCAAGGAGAGAAAAACTTACATTGACGCAGAAGCCACTTGTTTCCTTGGTTAATTTAATAAAACCATGTGAATCCTTTAGTCCTTGTGGCAGCGATCTACAGAGGTCTGCTTCACTGGGTCCAGCTGGTATCCTCTGTGGACCAGCAGCTAACAGACAAGACTTTGGTAAATTCTTCTGCTGTGACCCCTGAGCTCCCTACAAATTAACACGCTGGCTTCATATTCTGAGCCTGGCCAGAGGTCAGCGCACCGAGTGAGCAACTTTATTATTTAAAACATGTCCTTCTTTGTAAGTCAGAGCCTACATCTTCTTTTACTCTAAAGCAAAACCAACACAAAATGCATCTGAAAAAACTCAATTTGAATTCAATTCAGTTCATTTATACAGCACCAAGTCACAACAGAAGTCGTCTCAGAACATTGAACAGAAACATTCATATATACAAATAATAAGTTAATAACATTATTTATCTGAGGAGCAGACTGCTTTGAGTTTAACTCCATCACAGATCTCTCGTCTTGAGCAAGAATGAAGGCGACAGTGGAAAGAAAAAACTCCCTCATGAGGAAGAAACCTTTAGCAGAACCAGGCTCAGGACAAGTGACCATCTGCTTCGACTGGCTGGGTTTGAGAGAAACAGGAAGGAAGAACAGATACACAATGGCAGGTCAAGAATCACGTTAAGATAGAAATAGTATCAAATGAAAACTATTCAATTTTAACAATTCGTTTAAAGGAATGAGGTCAGTTTGTCCTCCAGTAGTCTAAGGCTATAGCAGCATAACAAGCCAACCCCAACTATAGGATTTATCAAAAAGGAGAGTCTTAAGCCCAATCTTCAAACTGGACCATGTGTCAGCCTCATGGACAGAAACTGGAAGTTGGTTCCACAAGAGAGGAGCCTGATAACTGAAAGATCTTCCTCCCGTTCTGCTTTTGGAAACTCTAGGAACTACAAGTAAACCTGCTGTCTGAGAGAGAGAAGTGCTCTGTTGGGAAAATATGGACCAAGATCTCAAAAGTAGGATGGAGCTAGGTTGTTGAGAGCTTTGTAGTTTAGAAGTAAGATTTTGAATTCAATTCTGGATTTGACAGGGAGCCAATGGAGAGAAGCTAAAACTGGAGTTTTCTCCCACTAACTCCAGTTAAGACTCTGGCAGCAGCATTTTGGATCACCTGAAGACATTTTAAAGAAGTATTTGGACACCCAGATAATAAACCATTGCAATAGTCCAGTCTAGACGTGACAAATGCATGAACCAGTTTTTCTGCATCACTTCTAGGTAAGATGTTTATAATTGTAATATTACGAAGGTGGCAGGCGGTTCTAGTAACGTTTTTAATGTGAAGGATAAAAAACATGTCCTGATCAAATATAACAAAGATTTTTAACATTAGAGCTGGAGGACAGATTAATGTCATCTAAGGAGGGCAGAAGACTGAAAAATTTATTCTAGATGCTCGGGTCCAAAAACCAAAACCTCAGTCTTGTCTGTGTTCAAAAGCATTAAAACATTAACAGAGGTAAAAACTTTATTTTAAGTTTTTTGTGTGTGGTTGTTTTCATGAATTAATCATTATATGCAAAGATTCAAAATCAGACATTATTTTAAAAAGTTTTATTTTGCAATACAAATCCCAAAACACTACATCCTGTGCCACAAAAGCAAAAAATGAACATCAGTTGTTCTGATTGTTTTCATTTACAACCGTGTTTTGGTCAATATTTTTTAATTTATTTACCCCATTCGTGACTTTAGTTAATGGTTCGTATAAAATAATAATAAAGTTAGATATGAAATAGAAGACACAGAATAGTTAATGAGTCCAGAATATCCTAAGATCAGAGCAGTTTGGCGTCACAAACTTCAGATTATGTTGAAGTTGAGGCCTCGGGATGTGAAAGTCGTCCATGTCCACACAAAAAAGGGTCAAGATTCAACAGACGGGCAGATTTTACTTCAGGTTCAGCTTCCAAGTAAAAAAATAAAAAATACTGACAGCACCAAAACTCAGCTACAGTGAAGTCGTCTCGTGCTGCTTTGTCCAACTTTTTAGAAAATTAGGTTTGTGTTCTGCTTTTCAAAGGTCCGTGAGTGATTAAAGTTCGATGGATGAGAGCACCGCCTCAGCTCTGATATCGGACTCTGTGCAGTGTCGACTGGAGGCTGTTCCGAGCGTTTCCACACGACTCTAAGGACTTGCTGTTCCTGCAAACGATGACAAGACTTCCGTCACTTGTTACTTTTAAAGTATCGACAGGCAGTTTGTAAATTGTATTATCTTTTCTAAGAAAACACCAAAATTGACCTGCAGGGGTCCATTAGCTGGTGAATCACACGAGTGACACTCCTGCTGCCAATTCTTATGTTTGAACAAATATGCACAGAGGTAAAGCCCCTGAGAAATGACCAGCTATTTGCAGCTAAACTGTAGTTTAGTCGTGTTAGATGAAAAGCTAAATGTAAAAACATGCTCATTAAGACAAGCTTCTATTTTTCAACAGATTGGTCGCTGGTGCTGCTCAAAGCATGGATTATTATATTTTAATTAAATTCTAGGTCAATTACTTTTTCAACACTGTATGAGATGAGTGTTCGGGGTATCCACCCAGTAAATCAGCTGCTTTAATTGTTACGATTTTAACACATACCCATTCAAAGTGTGCTTCAATTCTCTATACAAGTGGGAACTTCATTCAACCTTTATTTATACAGGTTAGTCTCATTGAGCCTCCTCGAGGACTCATTTATAAGAGAGACCTGTTTTAAACAAAGAACACAGTTGAGGAACAGAAAACAATATTCATATAAAAGCATTTAAAATGAAAATAAAAGAACTGATATATAAAAAAGTAACAAAAACAGCTACATTAAAAAGCAATGTAAAATACTAAAAACAGGAACATGTCTGCATGTCAAGGTTTCCTGAGTCAACGTTATGTTTCTTAAGTAAAGGTTTAATTACAGCGATCTTAATATGCTGTGGTTTCATTACAGACAAATTAAGCAGATCCAAAATGTGGCTATTAATGAAAGGAAATACATCTTTAAATAGTCTGGTTGAGCTGGGATCTAGCAGACATGTGGATGGTTTGGATGAAGCTATTATTTTTGACAATTCAGAGCGTTCATCAGGACAAAACAGTCCACACATAAATCAGGTTCTAGTGACATTTTTAAAGTTGTCTCATCTGACACGGAACTAGAGGCGATAGTAGGAAGGATGGTTTGAATTTTTCCCGTAATTGAAATAATTTTATTTATAAAGACTCTCATGAACTCATAGTAAAAAAAAAAAAAAAAAAGGAATACAAAATACAAAAAACTTGGAGGGGCGTGGGGGGGACTGCACTCATAATAAACTACAAATATTCATATTGGTGTAACAAAAGAACTGTTTCTGTAAACATTTTGAACGCAAGGTGTGCATTGGAATAGAACTTGGTGTTACCAATGTGGGAATAAATTAGAAGAAAGTCTAAGAAATATATTAAAAACTGGAGATTACCCAAAGACCTACAGATTGAGTGAAATACTTCACACACGTCCCATTTCAAAATGAGTCATCACCAGGAGTGCGTCCACCGTCACCGAAGTCGGGACATTAATCCGTGTATTTTGTACCTGGAAGCTGCCGTCTGATTAGCTCATTTCACCTCGTCCTTACCGGGACACAAAAGCCTCCAGCACCGCCACGCTCTCCTTGGGGAAGTAATCCTGCCGAACAATGTGCTCCAAGACGTGGAGGTGGCCCGGGACCACGAGCACGGGCTTGACCTTGTCCTCACTCTGTACCACACAGAGGATAGTAGAGAAACAGGGAATGGAGAATATAAAAATGGGTCAAGTACAAAACGGAAAGCACAAACAGGTTAACGGCACAGATAAAACGTAACGCTGCTGAGAGACATAAAAAGTGACAAGACACTTAAGAAACCGAGCCGAGTTTATCAGAACTTACCTTGATGAGTCCGAGCAGCACTAACAAAGACGAAACAAAACTGAAGCTCTGAAAGGACGGAGTGCTGAACGCTTTGTTCAGAAGGCCATCTGTGGGAACAAAAACACATTCAACTTAAACTAAAAGCAAACTTCGCCACAAACTCTTAGGACAAAAATCCCTTCAAAGATCATTTTTTTTCTAAGCAGAAGTGTGAAGAGCAGCCAGTGATACATTATGTTTTCATAACGATGGCTGGTCTGTTTGATTATTTCAACCTTCGCAGCAATAAAGACAGGACTTTTCATTTTTCTCCTCCCAAAGACTTTGAAAACTTTCTACTTTTTTGTAAGAAGTGTTTCTGTGGCGATTTTACTTGTGAATTATTGTACATAAATGTTAATTATATTAAACAATTTATACAAAAAGTGTTAGCTTAAAACCAATTCAACTGGAATTTTAAATTGGCGTAGCACCTGCTGGTTTCTACATGTTCCTACAGCGACACACTGTCTGAAGGATGAACTCTCACTACACTTGGCTCAGATGAGGGACTTTTGGAGTTGAAACGATGTCTAAATGACATGAAACCCTTCACAGACATAATCTAGGCTACAATTGGTACCAAAGTGAAAGTTAACAAACAAAGGCTGACGTACAAGTCCAACCTGGGATTCTCTGAGCACATCTCATCATACAAAGCTAACCAGTTGTGGCAGTTGTCCGTGCCAAGCTGCACTTCCTCTTCTTGCTGTGTTTCAGTTTGAATCAGACCCGGTCACGCGCTGATGGTAAGCACTCTGATCAGCTAAGGCAACAGCAACATTAATTCTTTCTTAGCAGGGCTACAACAGTGCTGATTTATCAGTAATTTAATACTTAAAGGGCCTGGATGGAATGAGCATGTGAGTTGTTAATGACCCAAGGACCACCAGTAATGTTTTGTCTTAATTAAGCATTAGGGCTGCATTTTACAATCAAATCAAGCACAAGTTTGATGTAAAATGCAAAAGATTTAATAAAACCAGATTTCATTCGTACACTAGAACATTTAATTTGTTGTTATACAATTTACTGAAAACTCAAAGAAGAAAAGAGTTGTTTGGGGAAAAAGTGAAGCAAAAAAAAAAAAAAAATCACTTCTAAATATTTCTGGAGTCAACACATTGTGTCAAATAATTAATAAAATATTATTAAAACTAAAACTCAAATGCCCCAGCACATCATAAACCAGACAGGAACCTTACTGTGTCGACCCAATCAACAAGTAGAATAATCATCTCACCAATAGTGTCCAGCACAGCGTGCTTGACGTCGCTGTTCTCCTCCTTGTACACGGATGCGATCTTTAGGAGGGCTTCAGCAGTTTTTGATGGATCTGTCAAATCCACCTTGACACAGACAGGAAGACAGAACAATAAACCTGCTTTCCACCCTTTAGTAAACCTAAAGTGTTCATTTTTCTGTTACTTCTGTTGCTAATTGCTCCTAACTTTGAGGTGCTGCTATTAAAAGATTTCTGCAATCATATGTAAACTTCTAGTGTTGGTGTATTCATCTTGAGCTCCTTGTTTACCTGCTGCTGCACCAGCAGGGCTCTCTTGGCGCCCAGTTTGAGCAGCTTGTCAGGAGATGGAAAGATGAGGAATGAAGAGACATCTGGTGGTCGTGGGGCTGATGTAGGAGTGGACAGCTGTGGGCGCAAAAAGCAATGAGCACAAAACACTGGTGAGGCTTTAGGTCACCTATTCAGTGTAGACTGATGCTGGTGAGCAAGATATAAATAGAAGAGCAGAAAAATAATTTATTTAGACCGAGTTCTGGTTTTATTTGTATTGTTTACCTTTGTTGCAAAAAACAACAACAAAAAAACGTGACTACATGACGTACCTTGTTCTGGCTGCTTTCCTCTACTTCCTCTTCCTCCAACTCCTCCTCCTCTTCTTCATCTTCTTCATAATCGTCGTCATCCTCCTCTTCATCCTCCTCTTCATCCTCATCCTCCTCAAGCTCACCCTCATCATCACTGAGAAAAGTTCAGACACCATCAAAGAGCAGTTTTAGGGGATGTGACTTTACATCTTCTAGCCCAAACGGGTCAGCAGAACATTAAAGGCAGGCAGTTCATACAGTAACCTGATGATGCTTTAAGGGTCTTGCTCAATTGCTTGTTCAGGAGAAAGCATGTTTAAGGCCACTGACAATGGCTTTACTTTATAATTCAAGAGGTTACATAATTTTTTTTTTCTGGTTCATCCTTCTTTCCATCCATCTACTAGCATCCACGAGGCATCATGAGAAGTCCAAACCAGTTCAGCTGACCTCTTGATGCTGAGAATTAGTGGCTCTACTCTGAGCTCCCGCCCTTTCCCTATGGGTGAAGCCTATTTCAGCCACTTGTATCTGGGATTTTGTTCATTCTCTCATGACCCATTTCAAACGAGTGCTCAGGTGAGGGCTGGAATGTAGACGCACCAGTAAATCCATTATGGCCCAGCTCCTTCCCCATAACAGACTGGAGCAACGGCCTCATTGTTACAAATGAAGCTTTGATCTGCCGATGCACACTACCATCGCTTGTGAACAAGACTCGGATTCTCTAATTCGTCCATTTCAAGCTCCCAAAACAGTTCCAAGTAACGGGCGCAAAGATGATCCCCTTTTTAGGTCGTTCGTAAATCACCAGTCGCTCTGCCTATACCCCGTGAAGATGTGTACACTCATTAATGAAGACTCAAGAGGTATGAAGTAGTATTGTAGTCAAGACCACCTAATCCAAGACCAAGTCCTCAAGTCTTAGAGCTCAATCTTTTCAAAGATTATCTGTCTTGTACTGTCACGACATAGTGACAGTTTTAACAAACATGTTAAATTAAAAAAAACATATGTAACTTTTTTATAAAAATATTTTTACAAGTTACATACTGCAACTTTAAGTTTGCTTTTGAATGAATGTATCAGCTTTTATAAATTTTCAAAACTGCATAAAGAAATCAGACATTCAGTGGTTTTTGCACAATAATTTCCATGTCATGTGACCCACTGACACAAAACTCATGTTAAACTTCTCTACTAGACCTGACAGACGAGGCACCCTCATTTATTTATCTTTTTAAAGCAAGTTCTAATTTTACATAATGTATTTGTTCAAAAATCATGATTTTTGCTCAATAACTAATTAGAAAAAATATATGTTGTTTAGTATTTTAGTAGGTTTTTTTGTTGTATTTTTGCTGCATACTTTGGCATTTCTTGGTTTTTTTTTTTGAGTCGAGACAGTTCTTGTCGTCATGAGCATTTCATTGCATTGTTGACATCGTGTTGCTCTGCATAAGACAATAAACCTAAACCACATTGGTTAAAATAAGACGTTTACCTGAGTGATCCTAGAAACTCGCCCATATTCATCCCTTCCATGGCATCTTTCAGAGCTTTGCAGCCGTCGTCTCCCAGACAATTACCTTTAAACCAAACAAGGAAATTAAAATCTGTAATATGGTCACATAAATAAATAAGAAAAAAATACCAAGTATTTATAATACAGAAAATGAAAACTGAAAATCACTATGGACGCTACTACACCTGTAGAATTCTTGAAATAAAACTTAACTCTAACAAATGATTATATATATACACACAAGTCCTTCTCAAAAAATTATCATATTGTGATAAAGGTCATTATTTTCCATAATGTAATGATAAAAATGAAACTTTCATATATTTCAGATTCATTGCACACCAACTGAAATATTTCAGGTCTTTAATTGTTTTAATACTGATGATTATGGCATACAGCTCATGAAAACCCAAAATGTCTGTCCCAAAAAATTTGCATATTTCATCCCACCAATGAAAGACAAGTGTTTTTAATACAAAAAACGCCAACCTTCAAATAATCATGTTCAGTTATGCACTCAATACTTGGTCGGGAATCCTTTTGCATGAATGACTGCTTCAATGCGGCGTGGCATGGAGGCAATCAGCCTGTGGCACTGCTGAGGTGTTATGGAGGCCCAGGATGCTTCGATAGCGGCCTTAAGCTCATCCAGAGTGTTGGGTCTTGTGTCTCTCAACTTTCTCTTCACAATATCCCACAGGTTCTCTACGGGGTTCAGGTCAGGAGAGTTGGCAGGCCAATTGAGCACAGTAATATCATGGTCAGTAAACCATTTACCAGTGGTTTTCGCACTGTGAGCAGGTGCCAGGTCGTGCTGAAAAATGAAATCTTCATCTCCATAAAGCTTTTCAGCAGATGGAAGCATGAAGTGCTCCAAAATCTCCTGATAGCT